TCAGATAGTTTATCAGAAGCTGATAGTTCACAAAAAGAGGTATAAAAATTAGAAAACTTTTTGATTATTCGTGAACTGCAGATGAAGATTAAGATAAAAAAAAAAAAAAAAAAAAAAAAAGACAATAGAAATCATATTATTGTCCAGTACACTTAAATGTCTTCTATGTAAATTAAACACTTAAAACGTTAATGTTTTATGTAAATTGTATTATATATTGTGTATATATATTTTTATATAAATGTATTTAAAATCGTCATTAATTATATAGATATGGTTTATACATTTATAACAATTACATTATAAATTATAATAATAATAATGTAATAATTGTAATATATTATTAAATATTAATATATTTTGATGAAATAATTAATGTACGATCATCTGCAAATATAAAAACTGTCTTTTATTAAAAAGAACAAATTATGGAAACAACTTTAAAGGAGATATATATGGTGGCATATAAATATATATATAGAAATATATAATATAAATTATATAAAACTTAACGAACACAAAAATTATATTAGACAAATATAGATTTAATATGAATAAATATGACACATCATAATATTAAAATATAATATGATATCAATGATTAACAATTTTCATGGATTAAATATAATTTTGTATTTGTTCCATTTCATATTTTAACAATGGAAAAAAAACTTTTATGCTATTATTAAGAAAATACGACCGACATTTTTTACTTCTTTGATTTTTAAAGTTTCTCGTTGGTCTTGCTTTTATATTCTTATAAAAATTCATTATTGTAAAAAAATACGTTTATTATTTGTGTATACTTATAATACTATTTTAAATACAATTTTTATTTGAATTTTTTTAATTATCGTCTTTCTTCCTGAGTTACTATCTTCTTTCATACAATTTATGTTAATGATTTAAAATTTTAACTTATATATAAAATATTTATTCTATATATTAATTAAATATATTAAATATATATATTATTATCATTGGACAAAGCCGATAATTATATGAATTTATTTATGTTGAATATAAACTACGCGAAACTTTAAATATCGTAATAATATTTTAMTTTTTTCTTCYTATACTTTAATTTAATAATAAAAACAAATGTTTATTATTGTCGTTAACAATGTCACGGATATTAATTTTAATTACGAATYTCGATGTATTTCAAATAATCGATATTAAACTCGAGACTCGAGAAATCAATTAAATGAAGAACATTAATTCATACTTTTCTGAAGTAATTTTTTAAGGAGAATATGTGTTTTGTTATTTTTCAGAACAACTGTTATCAAATAAATTAAATAAACATGATTTAATTTATTATTAACGAATTAATATACTATAATTTATAATATGACCTTATAGCTAATTGATGTTTGTAAATATATCGTAGTTCAATGATTCGATTCTTACAAATCGAACGATTCAAGAATTTTTTTTAATTCGAATTTCATAATATATTCTATTTAATTTCTACTGAACAATCAAATTTAGTTCGTTCTTGTCAGTTAGTGAATTCATTTGACAGACAAGCATTACTTATAATGTGCAAATTATATTTTATTCAATCTCTATCAAAAAAAAAGCATTTTATATTAAGTGTTTCATCTTACGATATATGATCATATATATCGAATTTTTTAAATTTTGTTTGCTTTTCTCAATTTTTCGTACTCTTTTAAATAATACATTAACAAAAAAAAAACACGTAATAAATTTAAGAAAGTTATCTTTCAAAAACTGCAAATAATGTTGTGAAAAAAAGTAATTATAATGAATATTATTCTGTAAAGTGTTTTTAATTAATATTATTTAAATAACTTTTATCATTTTAGGTTTATTTCATATGATATATAGATCCCCGAAAAGTTAATATATTTATGTATATATAAATTGAAAGTTTACATATGTATGTATATTAAATCAAATACATATATTTATTATACAATGTTTATTGTTCTCTTTAAAGTTTAAAAAAAAAAAAAAGTAATAAACAGAAATATATATAAATATATGATAATTGCATAATATTATTAAGCAAGGTAATTTTATAAAATTATCTACCATATTTCTTTTTTTATAATTTCATCAATCCTTCATCGTATTTTAAATATATTAATTTATTTTCTAGATGAGCGACGAAGAACTTGTTCAGTGTCCTAA